CAACAACTTCTTAATTTAAAAGAAAATAAACTAAACACAAATCGGCCCATTCAACACTTTATATGAATTATGTCAGTAGTTTGTCATTAGAATGTTGATGATGGGTTTCTATCTGTGGACATGGGTTCACATTTCCCCAGATATTACCAACTAGCTAACTGAGACCACATTTTTTTTGAGAGAAGGGAATTGCTTGATGAACCTTTCTGAAACATATGATTGGAAATCATTCCCTTGGTTAAAAACATGGGAAATGCACATGTTTGTAACTTTGTATATCATAGGATTTCTTGTTAACCACCGTGTAAGATGGCTCTTTGACAGTTGTGAAGAATTTTTTTTTCTTTGTTTGATAAAATTTCATGTGTTTTACAGAAGGAGTATGAAGCAGCTCGGATAGAACTAATGGAAGAAATAGCCAAGGGGGTCTCTGTAGAGGAACTTCGAGCAAAGCTAACAAAAAAAGATGAGTCTAAGGCAAAAGAGCCTACTGTTCTAGAAAGCAAGAGAAAGATACCTGATGATCTTGTACAAATACAGGCTTACATACGATGGGAGAAAGCAGGGAAGCCCAACTACCCCCCAGACAAACAAATTGTAAAGTTCGAACCTCCTCTCAACTTAATGTTTTTCCTCCTACTTATCTTGTGACTCCAGAAAGTATGAATTAGTTTGTTATTTATCCAGTATATTTTTTGAGCAAGTCATTACTCTTATTTCTCATTATATCTTGATTCTGGCAACCTTTTGTAAATAGAAAGAGCTTGAAGAAGCCAGAAAAGAGCTGCAGATGGAATTAGATAAGGGCACCTCTCTTGAAGAAATACGAAATAAGATAGTAAAAGGAGAGATCCAAACTAAGGTTTCCAAGCAGTTGAAGAATAAAAATTATTTTACTATTGAAAGGATTCACCGCAAGAAAAGGGATTTTATGCAATATCTCAATAAGCATGCTGCTGAATCTGTGAAAGACCTTCCTGTTCAGCTAAGGGCTCTAACAACGATTGAGATTTTTTCAAAGGCTAAGGAAGAGCAAGATGGTGGTGTCATTCTGAATAAGAAAATTTTTAAGCTTGGTGACAAAGAACTTTTGGTGAGATAATATTTTGCTTATAATGCCTTTTTCTTCAGGGAGTACATTTTTGAGTATTTTTCTGACTATTATCTTTCTTTCACATTTTTAAGGTACTTGCAACCAAACCTTCTGATAAGACAAAAGTTTATCTGGCTACAGATCTAAAAGAATCGCTAACCCTTCACTGGGCTCTATCAAGAAATGGAGGAGACTGGGAGGTAAGGTGGTGAATTTCTTCAACCATTTCAACTGGAGTATTAGGCAGATGCTATATTTTTAGGGGGTATTATCTGCCTTGTATGTTGATTATGGCTGAATTTATGTGCATAAATTTATCTTGTGGAGTATGGACTTACTGCAGACACCACCTCAAAGTGCATTGCCTCAGGGATCTGTTCCACTAGGAAATGCTGTTGAAACACAATTTGCAGAGACCTATTGTGGAGATCCTCCTCAACAGGTACCTGTGGAGGACTTTTCTGTGTCTCCATATACCTTTAATACTGAATTTTACCTGTCAGGTTTATGTAACAACTAATATATAGTGTATTATAAGTTGTTTGAGAAAGAGTCTTCATATTACCAGTCTGGTTTCAGGTACAAGCCTTAGAAATAGAGATTGAAGACAATTTTGTTGGCATGCCATTTGTCCTTGTATCTAATGGAAACTGGATAAAGAATAACGGATCTGACTTTTATGTTGATTTCAACACTGAGTCTAAAAAAGTAAAAAAGGTTGGTCTCTGTTTCATCTTCCTAATAAACCTTTTCTTTTCTCTCTCATTATTCTTTGTTTTTGTTACTTGATCTTTCTTGATTTATGAACCATACACATCTCCATGGAAGGATGTCGGTGATGGAAAAGGTACTGCAAAGGCTTTGTTGGACAAAATAGCAGAGATGGAGGGTGAGGCCCAGAAGTCCTTTATGCATAGGTGTGTTATCTGGTTTCTTATGATAACTTTGGCCTCACACAAGGAGCTTCTTTCTTATTTACATTCTTCCTGCAATTCCTGTCACCTATAAGCGATCATAGATTTTTTCTTCCTTAAAAACTTAAATGTAAAGTTTATTAACTTCAGAACTGTTTTTGTTTGGATTGATCTTAGACGAAGTTTTTAATTCAACTGGTTGAATCTAAATATACCTTCTTTTTCCTTCTTCATGAAATTCAGATTGTTACAAATCAACAAGGATGAACTCCATGTGACTTTACATCAAAAGTCCCCAAAGTAGCAAGAAAAGTCCCAACAGCTATACATTGAAATCCTAAATGGGGTTGTCATGAATTATAGCAGGATGTCTGTTACCAAAAGAATTCAACCATTAAACTACTTGTGACAAATGGATGTGAATCCACAGTTTGAGTATTTGTCTTAAAATGCTTCTACACTGGCACCAGCTAATTGCATAAAGCATTTATTTTCCTCATTTTGGACCCCTCTGGTTGAACAACCCACTAAACCACCACAAGATTGTAACAGCACATATAAGGACCACCTTATCACACTCAAGATGATAGAAATGCTGTCATGCAGGGCTTGGCAATTTGATTTCTGTATGAAGCTAACATTTTCATACAATGAAAAAGTTTTCTTTAAAAATGATCCTTCATTTATTTCATCAAATTTTTTCCATTTGTATCCAAGTTGTGAAGGAGGGATTTTTCTTATAATTCTAACAGATTGTGTTCTTTCACAGATTCAACATTGCATCAGATTTGACGGAGTGGGCCAAAGATGCTGGGGAACTGGGTCTTGCAGGAATTCTTGTGTGGATGAGATTTATGGCTACAAGGCAGCTCATATGGAATAAGAACTATAATGTAAAGCCACGGTATGTATATTAGGACAGACTTACAAATATCTCAAATAAACATCAATTCAAAATGAACTTTTTAACAGAGTGTAGCATTCTATCCATGAAGCAGGCATCAATTGTCAACCACAAATTGAGATAATTCTTGGATTGTGCACATATCTTTTAATGTCCTCCTATTGTTGCAGTGAGATTAGTAAAGCTCAGGATAGGCTTACAGACTTGCTCCAGAATATATACAAAAATAAGCCTCAGTACCGGGAAATTTTGCGGATGATCTTGTCCACTGTAGGTCGTGGAGGTGAAGGTGATGTTGGGCAGCGAATTCGAGATGAAATATTGGTTATTCAGGTTGATATTAAACTTTCCTTGGGCATTGATTATTTCTTTTCTTCTTGTATGTCCCATATTCTCTCAAACTCTTTTTCAATAATTCAATATTGAATTCTATTACTGCTCTGTAGAGAAATAATGACTGCAAGGGTGGAATGATGGAGGAGTGGCATCAGAAACTACATAACAATACTAGTCCTGATGATGTTATAATCTGTCAGGTATTCTGTATGAAGATATTGAGAAAATTCTAGTTGGTTTAGTAGATACAATTTCTCTTACAAAAGAATTTTGTTGCAGGCACTCATTGATTATATTAAAAGTGACTTTGATATCAGTGTTTATTGGAAGACTCTGAATTCAAATGGAATTACAAAAGAACGTCTTCTAAGTTATGATCGTGCTATACATTCTGAACCAAATTTGAGGAGAGACCAGAAGGATGGTCTTTTGCGTGATCTTGGGAATTACATGAGAACTTTGAAGGTTGGTTTTAAAAAGTCTAAATAGCAGCCTAATTCTGTAGATCAATTGAAGAAATTCCTATGTTAAATGAGGATCCCAACTGGGCAAGTGTCAAAGTCTGGAAGTTGACTTGAAAGGAATTGTACAGCTTTTTTTATTTTTTTAATATGGATAAATTTATGCATTTGTTCCTCGGAGAGGACAAAGGTGCTTCATCGGATGCATGTCACAGTATCAGCATTCAGGCTATGTTTAGTTATCAGCTTCAACAATTATATATAGAAATGGAAAATCATAAAAATTTGGCATATTGATTAACAAATTTGTTAGGCTCTAATATGCAATGTATCTAGTTAAAAATGACAATGACAAATCTATGAAAAAGAAGTCAAACTTCACAACCTGCTTCTCTTTTTTATATCTTAATAGTGCATGTCATATTATGCAGGCAGTTCATTCAGGTGCAGATCTTGAGTCTGCTATTGCAAATTGCATGGGATACAGGTCTGAGGTAACTGTTTTTCATAATTTGCTTTGACCCCAGCAACACTTCCTCGTTTTTTTTTTCCTTCTTTCAGGTACTTGATGGAACTTCCTATTTTTCTCAGGGTCAAGGTTTCATGGTTGGAGTGCAGATAAATCCTGTTCCAGGCTTGCCATCTGGATTTCCGGTAATGTTTTGACCTATTATTTGTAGAAACATGTTATGGTACCCATTTCTCCAGCTTTGGAAACCAGTTCCACATATAATGCTTTGTACATCCTTTGAATAGGAACTTCTGGAATTTGTTCTAGATCATGTTGAAGATACAAATGTAGAACCACTTCTTGAGGTTAGTAGCCTAGTAATATTGGTATTTGCTTTTACTTGTTATGTTTATATTTAATTTTACAAATCTATTTGTATTTAATTCTTAAAACAGGGTTTGCTGGAGGCTCGTCAGGAGCTTCAACCTTTGTTACTTAAATCCTATGAACGTCTGAGGGATCTTCTATTTCTGGATATTGCTCTTGATTCTATGGTAAGAACGGCCATTGAGAGGGGATATGAAGAGCTAAATAAGGCTGGACCTGAGGTACAGTTATTGGCATGTGCACATTTGTATTTTCCATTAGTAATTAGTAATATGTGCTCATTTCTTTTTGCAGCTTTAGCTTCTCTCTGACATATGTTCAGCTATATTAGGTTTCACATTATTTAAGTTTTATATGTCTGAAAAGCATATAAAACTTGGTCCAAATTATTCCACTTTCTCCTTTGCAGAAAATTATGTACTTCATCAGCATGGTTCTTGAGAACTTAGCTCTTTCCTCTGATAACAATGAGGATCTTATCAACTGCTTAAAGGTAATAGTGGTTCAAAGGAGTTTCTCTAATTGCATGATTATTTTCTAAATATGATGCTTACGACTTTGTGGTTGTGGAAGTAGATGTCCATGTTATTTTTAACAATGAAGACTGGAATATCTTACCTTCTAAAATTGTATGAAAAAAACAGTTGAGATATGGCATTTTAAACTAGGATTTAATCAAAGTTTTAAACAATAGATATATCTGCATTTTGGGCTGTCAATGGACCGGATATTGGTCCAACCCGATCTGGTCCATTACATATGGACCAGGTACACCCGTTTACAGGTGTTTCCGGGAACCCTTTTTTTAGAAATAATATATATATAGAGATAGATAGATAGATACACTAAAAAGGAGCATGGTTTAAAGTACCGGTACACAAAGGTGTATTGATACTTTGAACCTTGGATATTGGTTCAGCCTGACCCGGTCCAATATAAATCCGTTAAAGATAGACCAGGTCCAATACAATAAGTACTTTAGACCATTAAATCTGGACTGGTTCAATTCAATGTCTTATTGGATCATCCAACCCATTCAAATTGGTTTTGATTCAGACGGGTCAAACCCTAACCTAGTCCAACCCGGTCCAATATAAATCCGTTAAAGATAGACCAGGTCCAATACAATAAGTACTTTAGACCATTAAATCTGGACTGGTTCAATTCAATGTCTTATTGGATCATCCAACCCATTCAAATTGGTTTTGATTCAGACGGGTCAAACCCTAACCTAGTCCAACCCGGTCCAATATAAATCCGTTAAAGATAGACCAGGTCCAATACAATAAGTACTTTAGACCATTAAATCTGGACTGGTTCAATTCAATGTCTTATTGGATCATCCAACCCATTCAAATTGGTTTTGATTCAGACGGGTCAAACCCTAACCTAGTCCAACTAGAGAACCAAAACATTACAAATCCAAATGGAATTTTATGTATCATGGATGAGGTGTTTATGGAGAGTTTCGAATTATGTGTCAGATTCAGTAGTGTCCCTGGCCAATAGAAAATAGATTGGTTAGTGAAATACTTCATTATTTATATGTATTATTTGTTTATTTATAATGAGGACACTGTACCTCTTTTCACTTTATTTGGATCTAATTTTGTTATTCTTGTGGAAGGGATGGAGTCATGCATTGGACATGTCCAAGAGTAGAGATGATCACTGGGCTTTATATGCAAAATCAGTCCTTGATAGGACCCGACTTGCTCTTGCAAGCAAGGCAGAGCATTACCAGCAAGTTTTGCAACCTTCTGCAGAGTACCTGGGATCACTTCTTGGAGTTGACCAATGGGCGGTATGTTTTAATTGTATTGAAAATGCCAAGATACTCTTTTGTATTATGTAGCTCATAACTATCCTGGAGCTTTACTTACAAGCATTAAATGCAGATAAATATATTCACTGAAGAAATCATTCGTGCTGGGTCAGCCGCTTCCTTGTCATCACTTCTTAATCGACTTGACCCTATTCTTAGGAAGACAGCTCATCTGGGCAGGTTGGTCCAGTGCATCATCATCTAAGAGATTGCAATATTGATCCAGTGGAAATCTTAAAGTCAAAGAAGCTAATCTAATAAAATAAAGAATGAAATAGATATTGATGAAGTTATTAGGTCTTCAAAGAATAGAAATTTATTTTCTAACTATAATCATTGAAATTCAACACAGAGCATTACAGATCAAGCATATGCATCATAATTCTAATAGAACTTGGTGCTTGGAACAGTTGGCAGATAATCAGTCCAGTTGAAACAGTCGGCTGTGTTGTAGTTGTAGATGAACTACTTGCTGTCCAGAACAAATCATATGGACAACCAACGATTTTAGTGGCAAAAAGGGTAAAAGGAGAGGAAGAAATTCCAGATGGCACAGTTGCTGTGCTTACACCTGACATGCCAGATGTCCTATCTCATGTCTCTGTGCGAGCAAGAAATAGCAAGGTAATTGTCTAATTACATTTGGCTTAATGCTTCTTTGGCTTTTGCCCTTGTGGATAGGAAATTGTATTTTTTGAAAATGAGGGACCATGAGTTTAATGCTTAATATTGTTTTCCCTTTGCAGGTTTGCTTTGCTACATGTTTTGACACCAATGTTCTGTCTGACCTTCAAGCAAAAGCAGGGAAGTTATTACGCCTAAGGCCTACTTCTACAGATATAATTTATAGGTAATCCAGTTTATTAACTTATGAAAACATCTTTTTCCATCTATGTTTTATGACAAGAATTTCTTTGGTAATCACAGTGAGGCCAAGGACAATGAGCTTTTGAAGACAAGTTCAAATTTGAAGGAAGATGAATCTTTGCCATCTATATCTTTAGTCAGGAAGAAGTTTTGTGGTAGATATGCCATATCATCGGAGGAGTTCTCCAGTGAAATGGTTAGGCTTGCATCTTCTAGTGATTTCTCTCTCTTTCTTATTCTTCTTTTTTTTCTCTGTCCATGTATTCTTTTCAGTTGTTAGGATGACTGTAGGGATACAAATGGGTCGGATCAGATTCAAATCAGGGTATATCCGAATCTGAATCTTATCGGATACTATGAACAACAAATCCGATCAGATCTAACAAACATTGATTTGAATTTGAATCCGATGAGGAAGTCAGATATTCGGATATGATCCGATCCAATTTAATTTTTTAAAAGAACTAATAAATTATTAAAAGAAAAATAAAATATAACAATTTAAATAAAGAAAAAAAATAATACAAGTATTTTCAACTATTTTCATCATATAAATAAATATATATGTGTTATATATATTTATATAAATAAATAACATATATATCGATATCGGATAGGGGTGATCCAAATTCGATCTGATTTCTGATAGGATCCTTTTTTCCGATCTAGTCTGATCCGAAGATCCAAAATGGGGATATCCGAATCCGACAAATAGGATCAGACTTTGGATTGGATCAGGTATAATTTGAATTCAGGTAACTCCATAAAATTCTGGGAACAAACATGGGTGGGGAATGCCCCTCTTAAAGACTTGTTTCCTTCTTTGTATGCCCTATCTGACTTGAAAAATGAGTTAGTTTCTTCTTTCATTATCCCCTCATCTTCCATTTCTGGGTTTGGGTGGAATTTGGCTTGAGGAGGACTGTGAGAGACTCAGACCTTGATAGTATTTCGAGTCTCCTTGGACTCCTTGATAATGTTTTCTTAGACCCTGCTAAGTTGGATTCTAGAATCTGGACCCCTACCCCCACTGGCTCATTCTCCTGTGCCTCCTTTTTCACTGATCCATATAAGGGTTGAACAGTGGTTGAAATCCTCAGAGCTGTTTACAAATTACACAGTGGATGACATGTTGAGGAAGTGGGGTGAGATTGCTAACTGTACCCAGACCAAAACAGTAATGAGTGTGTCTTGGATCCCCCACCTGCTGGTTTCTTAAAACTAAACTTAGAGGGAATCCTGGACACTTGGGGATTGGGGGTGTGTTTAGGGATGAGAATGGGTTTGTTTCAGCCCTGTTCTCAGGCCCAATTGGAGTGGGTGACTCTCTCAAGGTTGAGATCTATGCAGTTATGGAAGGAGTCCAAAGAGCAAAGGAGATGAATATAAGAAAACTCATAATTGAAGGCAACTTGGAGGTGGTGGTAGGGTGGCTGAATAAAGACAACAGCTGGTTATGGATGTACAGTAATGAGAAGAGGAAATTTAGGTGTCTGGTTCCAGAGGTGAAAGTCAAGATCAGCTGGGTGAAAAGATCAGCTAACTCTTTTTCTGATGGGTTAGCTAAGCAAGGGGTTGAGAGGGAGTCAATGTCTTGGGCACAAGTGTAACTTTTTTCTTTTTCTGTTCTCGGGGGCTCAAGCTTCAGATGGAAGATAAGAAAGTTTGTCTTCCTCCTTGTAAATATTTCTGTGGTTAATTAATGAAATGTTGTTATTGATCAAAAAAATGACCTGATCCATTTACACCCCTAGATGAATGGAGTTATGGAGACCATGCATTTTTCTTATACATTAGATAAAATTTAGGAGTTATTGCAAAATGAACATATGTGGCTGGATACTATTACTCTTTTTTAACAATATTTACAAAATTGCATTTTAAGTTTGTGTAACCAAATGTTGATCCTAATTCTTGTAGGTTGGAGCTAAATCACGTAATATTGCATATCTAAAAGGAAAAGTACCACCATGGGTAGGAATTCCAACATCAATCGCCCTACCATTTGGTGTTTTTGAGAAAGTGCTCACAGATGATTCAAACAAGGTTTGCCTCATCTCATGGATCTTATGCTTCCAAATAATCTTTGTTAACATGCAAAATGCCAATCTCTTTTATGTTTTCCTTGGGAGTTTCTTGTGCTTCCAAATACTGAAACTATCTTTATGAGGAATGAAATGCCTTGTAGAATGAGCATGGGTATTATTTTGTGAGAAAATAATCCCTTGGAGATGCTTAGCTTGATTAAGAGACTGCACTTTGCGAGTGCAGTCAATTGCTTCTGATTAGAGCAGGGAATTGAATCCCCGTAGAACTGGTTTAATACTATAAAATGTGAGCCACATTGAATTTGTTAAATCATCTCTACGATTCCTCCCAAAAAAATAAGATCACAATGATGCAAACAACCTGTAGAGTAGATGTTCCTCCTAGATCTGTTACGTAGAAAGTCATTGTCAAGGTTCAAGATGACTTCATTTGCTTACTGAGAAATTCACATTTTGAAAAGGGAAATCTATGTCTTGGTTGGGCAAAACCTCAGAGACTAGAAGCATCACATACACAATATTATGTATAGAAATAGCTTTTGCAAGTGGAGATATACTATTACTATGTTTAGTGGTTTAGGCTTGTGCTGAGTTTCAAATTCATCTGCTACATTCTAAGTTTAGAGTTCATCTGATAGAACATCTTGTGATATATTCTTCTTAATTGTAGGTGGTAGCTGACACATTGCAGACCCTGAAGAAAAGGTTAGGAGGAGATTTCAGCATTCTTGGTGAAATCCGTAAGACAGTTTTGCAGCTTTCAGCACCCCCTCAGTTGGTAAGTTCATTCTACCATAGGACTGATTATTTATTTATAAACCACATGAGCATAAGACGTTGTGGGGCAAAGATCACTTGTTTCTCACTTAGCATGAAAAACAGATGTCTTGAGATGCTGTGAAAACAAGCTATCTGATAGCTATCAAGGGAATGTATGTCTTTTTCTGTGTCCTGATGTATGGTTTTGAAAGTCTAAGAAACAAATTGTTATTTTATAATAATGTCATTAGAAATATAGTGCTAGTGTAGAAATGCAGACAACTGTCCTCTTTCCAAGGTATACTCAGATGTTTAATATTACAGTAAATATATGTTCATTTCATTTGATTTACTCTTTGATGTCATTTGACCATACACAAAGCACAATAGAATTGGATTAATCTTTCTTGAGAATTTCTGTTTGATTTATTGCTTCATGTTGTTTGACCATAAAGCAATATAGAATTCAAGCAGTTTTTCTTGAGAATTTTCTTTACATCTGATTTTGGAAACTCATTTTTTCCTTAACCTCTTGGATACTTGGATACTTGAAGGCTGTTATGTCACACTTAAAATGGATGGTTTCTGTTGAATGTTTGTAACTTCATCCTGGTAAACAGGAACCAGAGAATACAGGGGATTTAGTCAGTTGTCAAAGAAAAAATGAAAAATATAACATGGAATCTGCCTCTGAAGAAGGAGCATTATTGACAGGATGGTTTAGTTCAAAATAACCTAATGACAAAGAAATGTTTTCAGGTGCAAGAGCTAAAGAATAAGATGAAAAGTTCAGGGATGCCTTGGCCTGGTGATGAAGGTGAGCAACGATGGGAACAAGCATGGGTGGCAATAAAGAAGGTACTGATCTTTCCTGATTCCACTTTATCGTGTTCATTGAGAATCAGCATAGTTACCTGATCCATTGGGAAAGAGTCCATATTGTAGAAAGTACTTTAGTGGTCATATTGAAAAGCAAAATGTTAATTTTAATAGGTATAACATGTTAAACATACTTATATTGATTAAGTACAAAATTAATAAATGCTAACTTTAATGTCCAAAGTCTATGATACTTCTATTGAAGGCTTTATCTCTACACTTTCTCCATCTGTTCTTGGAATCATCTTCATCATCATCTAAGCCTTGTCACAACTATATGTGGTTGGTTAGATGAATCCTGTTTTGCCATTGCATTCTATTCTGTGCCATATCCACCATTAAATTATGGGCACTTAAATCGTTTATTATTACTTCCACCTTAGTCCTTTTCGGTCTGCCCATAGCTCTTCTAGCCCCTTAACTTGTAAGAGATTACTTTTTTCTAACAGGTATTGTAGACAGTCTTCTATGCACATGAACAAACCATCTCAATTTACATTCATTTGTTCTTAGAATGGAATTGAAAAACAATATCTCAGTATTAAAGCATTACATGGTAACAAAGTGTGCAATAGTAACAAAAAAAAAAAAACATTGAGATCAATTTTTAATGTGAATCTAATCTAAATATACTAGAAACTTTGATTTTTTAAAAACTTAAGTATTTTCTTTCCAATAAAAGATATTGACTGTTATTCCTAATATTGTGAAAGCAAGATTCCATTTTTATGGATGCAGTACTCTGTCAAACACCATTAAAAGTCAATTTGTTATGGCAATTCCAAGAAGAGGCGTTGGTAATCCCCCACCCCCACCAGAAAAATAATCAAGATTATAATAAGATGGCATGTGCACTTTTACAAGTACTCTGTGCGTCACTTTACCCACATGAAAGAGTTATTAATCTAGGTACACTGTCAATCTGTTCTTTTCCAGGTCTGGGCATCAAAATGGAATGAAAGAGCTTACTTCAGCACCAGAAAGGTGAAACTAGATCATGATTATCTCTGTATGGCTGTCCTTGTTCAAGAAATAATAAATGCTGATTATGCATTTGTAATCCACACCACCAATCCGTCGTCTGGAGACTCATCAGAGATATATGCTGAGGTATTATCATGTGATCCATTTGTACAATCATGATGAGAAGCTCTTGCTTTTAATTGTCATTCTGCTCTTAAGACAATTATATATATATATATATATATATATATATATATATATATATCACTTCCTTGTATAGGTGGTGAAAGGACTGGGAGAAACTCTTGTTGGTGCTTATCCTGGCCGTGCTTTGAGCTTTGTCTGCAAGAAAAATGATCTTAACTCTCCAAAGGTGAGTATACCTTAGAGATTGGAAAAATATATCATAGGAAATGCATATTTAAGCATTGGATTTCACATCACCCTTGCTCTTGTTTTCTGTTCAATTGTAGGTATTGGGTTACCCAAGCAAACCCATTGGCCTCTTTATAAGACAGTCCATTATTTTCCGCTCTGATTCCAATGGCGAAGATCTAGAAGGTTATGCAGGTGCAGGACTTTATGATAGGTATGGTGTTAATAATTCTGAGTAAAGGACACATAAAAAGAATTCATAATTAATTTTCTTATGTTTTATAAATTAATTCTTCTTAGAAGCAACCATGAAAACCCTGGACCCAGACTTTTCTTTATATAAAATGTTATTTTTCTTTGATATTCTTGACTAGATGCATCCATCATACATGTGGAAACAACAAGCTGTGAGGTTGGTTGGTTTCATGTTGATGATTTAGTTATCACCATCATACTACAAACCTATAATAGTGGTCGTTTCAAAATTTATTGTTATGTATGCTATATATGGTGGTTTCCAGTAGCAAAACCATGACTTTTTATTCTGACATTTTTCAAAATTTTTACTAATAAAATTAATATTTGGTTTACACCCCCCTCCATCCATATTTGTTGTCTATCTTATTATAACCATACCCCCTCCTTCCCCCCATTTTTCATACATGGTTTCTTGAAGGTTAAAGAACTCTATTAATTTATTTGATAAGTTACTCAAACCTTTTAATAATTGTTGGAAAAGAATGCTATCTACAAGAGGTAATCCAGGTATCCCAAAATTAGACAAGCCCTTCAACCTAACCCATGATCTTTCTTTTTTAGTTTATATTTTCATTCAAATCACTTGAGACAACTCCCCAAAACATCTATGCTCTCTTGACCTCTTGTTTAGCCAGACTAGCTGCCAAGACCATTACAAGTTTGCTGAACCCATGTGAGGGTGTCATCCACTTCTCTTGCTATCTGACATTTCTCTCATAATATGTCTATACTACCATGGCACCATGCTATTTCCATGAAGCAATCCCACTATGACCTTTGAATCACCCTCTACCAACAGTATAGTTTAGGTCCCTCCCAATTTTGGCCCTTCCAGACATGCAGTAGTTCTGCCCTAATTGAGTTTCCTTGTCCTGAAGGGCCTGAGAAAATAGCTTCAAGTGTGCTATAATGGTACTGGGAAGCCCCTCCGATGCTAGAAGGCCCAAGAATATCCATACTACATCCATCAAAGTTTAATTGTATGTAATTTTCTGGTGGAGGGGGACCAAAGAAGAGGTTGCAGAGTGTGGGCATCAAGAGGAAAAATAATTTATGATATGCTACCATCCTCTAAACATATCGTCCACTAAAATGTGCCTAAAGATGGGCATGGTTTTAGCCCAATAAACTGTTTTATCATAATGCTTTTTATTAGTGCTTCTTTAGAATGAGACGGGGTTGATCCGTATCATACCCTTGAACATCTTTGTTTGTCTGCTGCCTCCTTATTTGATGCGGAGATGCTCTTTCGTTCTAAATAATTAACAAAGACAATCTTCCATCAGAAAGCTGTCCTGCTTTATAAAAGTGGTTCTTAATTCCCAATTTCTTATAAACCTTGTCATACTTTTTGCATGGAACAGCCCTGCAAAAACCACTCAGTGGTTTGTTTGGTGCCTCCCTCCCTCAGATTCATGTTTACCCCCTGTCTACCCCTTGTTTTGCTAGTACATCCATCATCCTATTAGTCAATCTCCTAACCCACTGTATCCTGAAATTCATGTTTCTAGTAAGCCATTTAAACTTTTTCATCTCAATCCCTAAAGCACCACAATATAGACTCTGGTTCCTTCAGCCAACCTACCACCAATTTTGAGTCCCCTTTTTCTGAGAAAAGATAACTGATTGTATTAAAGAAAAGCCTTAAGTACATGAGAGGATATACAGCCTACAGGAAAGAACCAGCAATAGAAATTACAAAGCCAGGATTCTTTCACTATACAGGTTTTACCTAAAGATGCCTGATTTAGTCAAACTGTCAACTATAGAATTTAACTCCCTGAGAATCCAGGTTAAATTTACAGACAAGGTGTCCAAAATCCTTTCATTCCTCTTCTCCCATATGGACCAGAGGGTTGCAGCCCTAGCACATACCGTAATACTTTCCCCCTTTTCTTAGCAAGATGGGACCCCATCACATCAAACTGCTTAAATTTTGGAGGGCCATGGGCTTCCTCGTTCCATTGATCTTGACTGTTAAGTTGTTAGAATCTGACTTTGGTTTTCTTTCATGACAGTGTGCCAATGGATGAAGAAGAGAAGGTTGTACTTGATTACTCATCTGACCGATTAATAACAGATGGAAGTTTTCGCCATTCAATCCTATCAAGCATTGCCCGTGCAGGAAGTGCAATTGAAGAGCTTTATGGATCTCCACAGGACATTGAAGGTGTAGTGCGGGATGGAAAGATTTTTGTTGTTCAGACAAGACCGCAGATGTAACTATGCATCCACATTGCAGGAATTAGTTCTTTTCTCCCAGAAAAGTTTACATACGTCAGTATTAAACATGTAAAAAAAAAAAACTTAGAAAGTAACTATAACAGAACATTTTTATCATGATTCATGAATGAGCATCTCCTCAATTGCTTGAGTTACTCAAGTAACTACAAGCGGTGCTTGAAAATCTAACAAGAAATGCAGAAGTGTTTTAATGGCATGATTATTATTTGAGAATGCAAAAACATTTAGCCATTTCTATTCTGAGCTCCTTTGTTTTCTCTGGCTTCATTAATTCTCGTAGAATGATCTCTCTGACTGCAGCTGCATTATGGTCAAGTATAAAGCAGTTTATTAATATGGACTGTTCCTTTGTTAGGATTCCTCTTATATTATTGTGCAGCTGGAATATGATCTATAGACTGTTAGGTTTAGATAAGTTATATGGCAAGTATTGAGTCCGCTATGGAAGCGGTTCTCAAAGAGTCGAAGCCTATCATAAATGTGCTAGGAATTTGGCTAAGTTGCTCCTTGGTTTTAGGTCAACTAAGCTGGACTAGTCTTTGCCTTAACCGTGTAGAAATTGCACAATGCCTTGTTCAAATATATTATGCCCAAGATTTGAAACTGCCGGAGTTTCAATTTGGTGAAGCCAGAATAACCACTTAAACTAGCCAACTCAGACATCACTCAAGGTGGAAGCCCAAAAGAGAATTGGAGGATATCGCTCATGATGAGAAGTATAAAGAGCACGACAAGAACAGCATGTAATCATGGAATTTTCAAGTAGAAGAGATGAGAAAGAGAGCATGCGATCCTCAAGCACAATCAATGTGTGGTCAGTGCTTGATTGCTTGCACTAGCCACTAGGCACCACAATTAGAGATGTCAAGCTGTCAGCAGGTCGGGCTTGGCATGGGTTTGGTTCAAGCAGAATAAAACCTCAACACGCACCAACCCGATTAATTGACATGAGCTACCAAACTCGACCTGGTCTGCCCCATAATTAGTATTCCCGTGCTCAGTCAGAGAAGCTTATATTCACAAATGTTTCAATGTTACCGCAACAACTGATTGGATTTGATATAGGCCAACAACCGACAGACCCAAAGTATTATTAAGGCTGGGTCGGGTCAAGATGGGTTTTTCATTTTATATGCACAAGACAAGATTAAGTATGATTTATATGCACAGACCCAAAGTATGATTAACTCGACCCGCTGATATCCTTAACCATAATTACATGCACAAGACGAGCAAATGTATACGGGTGGATTTTCATAGCAATTTGAAAAACTTGTTTTCTTGGGCAATGTGAGACTAGTGAATAAAAACAAGTTTTAATCTGAAATAATTTTTTTAAAAACGAAAAGTTAGGAGCAACCGAAATAAAAGCCTAGGAAATTTAAAATATTTCAAGACACCTTATCATGGACTTCCGTTATGTTCTTTCACATTTGGGTTTGATTGTCAAAGACCTAAATTCTTGGGTCAGTTGTTCCCACTATGCTTTATGGCCTCACCGCGTTCAAAGACTGATCATGGGTTCCACGATTTCAATGGATGAATTACTAGGCCTCGTTCATGGTTTGAAGCTTTGAGCAGGATTCGCTACTGATTTATCCCACCACAGATTTTGGTTCATATTGGATACATGACATGGTGGCAGTAGAAATATCGTATTCTATAAGATTCAGATAAAAAGATGATATTGAAGCAACAAGGCTTAGATGATGATGATACCAGGATGATATACTGATGGTTGAGGAATTTTAATTTACACATGGCAAGATCACAATTTTTATAAGTGATCACTAAGGCTAGGTTTGGTTTGAAGGAAAATGTAGGGAAAGGAAGGTAAAGACAGAAACCTATACAAGATTTGTAAAGGTTTCCCTACCTTTTCATACAAACCAAACACAGCCTAAAGAACCCGGGTTGTTAAGATAAATCACACGACTGTTTTTTCAACAAGTACACAAAGGAAAAAAATGCGTATATATGCAGTTAGTCTTATGATTGAAAATCACACATTAAGGACCAAGGAAACTCGGTTGATAACAAAATCCAGCTTTTTTGTTTTGATGCAGTAAAGCACAGGAAACATAACGAAAGAGTTGAAGAGTTCACCCTTTCTGCAGTCACAAATATGTGTTTGGTTGCTCACAAAAACCGAAAACAATAGGGGTTCAAGACACTAGCAGGTTGTGACTGGTTGAATTCTATCGTTAACTGCTCGGTAGCACTGAAGACTGCAAAGAGGAAGGTTAGACTTGGAATCTCTGTATTTGTACGTATTAGTGCAAGAAGGCCCTGCACATCTTTCTCGAGGTGGAGGATACCTGATTCAGAAACAGTTGAACCCTAGATCAGAAATCCAAGACAAAAGAGCTTGAACAAGAATACTCAAGAACTTGGCATAAGCAACAAGGAACTCATCTAGATGATTAAATAGGATTTGTCATGTTGGAAAGCTCTTCTCTGTAGGGAACCTCCCTATACACACACAGACCGTCACCTGGTACTCAACATGCATGCTCAGCAATCCTTTAGGCTCAGTTTAGGAGTATAAATACAAATCTGTACAGTGCAAAACCTTGTATTTTGTATATATTTGTACAGTTTAGGAGTATAAATACAAATCTGTACAGTGCAAAACCTTGTATTTTGTATATATTTGCACAGTACATATTTGTATTTGTATTCCTTCTAACTCAGCCTCAAGAAAATTCGCCTTTTGTCATGTAGGTATTCTGTTGTCCTAACTGTATACATGATCACACATTGAATGAGCTACAAGAGATCCTATTAGAAACTTGAGAAGTAAATAAATCATAACCTGGAAATAGTTGAACTGAATATGCTAGGAAGCCCTGCATCTTCAGAGAATGAGACAGTGGTGCCAGTTGGTCCAATGACCCACCTGATGGTATTGGACCCAAGACCCACAGAAGAAGATTTCTCCTGATTGTAGAAAGAAAATTTTCAGCATAAAAAAAAGACTAAAGCTGAAGCAGTATTTAGACCTGAAGAGGGCACACGAGAAAACATACCTTTGCTATTTCAGTCTGCTTTTGACGTAATTTATCCCTTCGTGATTCTCTATTTGAATTATGGCCCAAGATCTTTCTTATTGCTTCAGCCTGTTGGAGACATATCTCATAAGGATGAATACTTTGTACAAAGAACCACAATTCTGAGAGGATGCTGTAAATCAAACCTGGATTTCCTTTGCAGCTTTCTCCACTTGCATTCTACGACGTTGAGCAGCCTCGGCTTTTTTCAGCTGTTGATCCAAATCTGAAATTTTCTCTTTTTGCTCTACATGAAAATAGAAAACAAAAGAAGAATAAAAATTTTTAACTGCTCCATTATGGAAAGAGGGAAGAGAAAACAGAAGAGACATGGTTTAAATATAAATCTCATTAGGATGGAAATAGGTGCCAATGTGTACGAGCAACCATGTCCTCTTCTCTGGACATATTGTCAAGATCCAAATGATCTGAATAAATTACAGCAAGTATGACTTCCCCATTCCTTATTTTTGAAGAGAGAATTTTGATTATTTGGTTATTGAAATTCCAAAGATGTTAAAAATGATGCTTTTAACTAAGCTATCATTTGCATGTAATAGTGACCAACATCAAATTTTTATGTTCAAGACCATCTACCATCTCATCTCATCCGTGTCATAAAAAATTGCAACAACTGCAAAGAGAAGAAAAGGTGAAAGATGATCAGGAAGAAGAGCAGAAAAAGAAGAATATAACATGTATTTCAACTCATCTCTTTCAAGAAAGCCTTATCCCAACTACATGGGGATGGCTACATGAATCCTGTCTTGGAATTCTTTTATTTTAGGATAATTTACTAAAAACTCCCTATAGTTTCACATAAATACTAAGACCTACCCTATAATTTGCATATTACCAAGACACCCCCTCTACTTTGCAACTGCTTTACTTAATGCACCTACCGTTAGGAATTGTTTGCATATCCATTTGGGAATGGTTTTATACTGAAAATACCTGTAAATAGTCTCATATCACCAAAATGAAACACTCCCCTCACATTATCTTATTCCAAAAATAAAACAAAATGTAATAGGAAAAACAAAAAAAAAGCAAAAGCAAAGGAAGATGACAGTAATTAAAGTAAAAGTAGAATAGACAGTAATAAAAAAACATTATTATTGTCTGTTTAATTTTTACTTTATTTTCTCTCATCTTGCTTTATTTCCTATTTTAATTTATTATTTTAAGCTTTTTCCCATTACTGTCTATTTTATTTTTATTTTCTTTTATTTCAAATGGATATTTTGGTTATTTCTTTTCTTTAAACTATTTTGGTTGAACAGATGTTAGGGTCAAAATGTCATTTCACACGTTTGCCTAAGAGAACCAACAATAAGTAAAGCAATTGCAAAGTAGATGGAAAACCTTGGTAATACACAAACTATAAGGTAGGTTAGTAATTACATGAAACTATAGGGGGTGTCTTGGTGAACAACCCTTGTCTTTATTATAGTAAAAGAAAATTTGCACAAAAATGGAGAAAAGAGGGTACAGGAAAACATGATAGGAAATCACCAATATCTCAAAATACAAATTAAACACCTCACCAAGAGGCATTCAAAGACTAAACCCACTACATATAATCTTACAGACTCCCAAACTGAAAATGCTTCACCATTACAATGAGACTCCTCTCACACTTTTATACCAACCAAACAAACACTACCAACCAATGACCCCCTAAAACCACGATTATGACAAACTGCAACCTCTACTAAGAAGTTACAAGCACCTCCACTTATAAGGGACAGTAGATAAGAAAACATAACATTAACTCATCCCCTCCCAAAACAGCACCAAACAATTACCTCTAAACTTATCCAGTTTCTATCTCCCCCTTCACCAACTTGCAAATTCAAATCTCAAATGGTGTAGTTAATGATGGGGTCACCATTATCCCATCCTTCCTTTGTGTAGTGACAAATCTTGTATGTGTTCCTAAGAAAAGGAATGTCCCTTTTTCAAGGTCTCAAGGGGGTGTGGAAACACATAAGAACTCTTGAATGGAAATGGAAAAGAGATGTAACTAGTTCTTTCAGAAATGGTAAGATCTTTGGCACAAGAAGGGGTTGATCTGTATCATACCCTTGAACATCTTTGTTTGTCAGATGCCTCCTTATTTGACACAGAGATGCTCTTTCGTTCTAAATAATTAACAAAAACAATCTTCCATCAGAAAGCTGTCCTGCTTTATAAAAGTGGTTCTTAATTCCCGATTTCTTATAAACCTTGTCATACTTTTTGCATGGAACAGCCCTGCAAAAACCACTCAGTGGTTTGTTTGGTGCCTCCCTCCCTCAGATTCATGTTTACCCCCTGTCTACCCCTTGTTTTGCTAGTACATCCATCATGCTATTAGTCAATCTCCTAACCCACTGTATCCTGAAATTCATGTTTCTAGTCAGCCATTTAAACTTTTTCATCTCAATCCCTAAAGCACCACAATATAGACTCTGGTTCCTTCAGCCAACCTACCACCAATTTTGAGTCCCCTTTTTCTGAGAAAAGATAACTGATTGTATTAAAGAAAAACCTCAAGTACATGAGAGGATATACAGCCTACAGGAAAGAACCAGCAATAGAAATTACAAAGCCAGGATTCTTTCACTATACAGGTTTTACCTAAAGATGCCTGATTTAGTCGAACTGTCAACTATAGAATTTAACTCCCTGAGAATCCAGGTTAGATTTACAGACAAGGTGTCCAAAATATCTCTGGCCTCAGTCAGGTAGTGTGCTAGCCTCCAGGGACCTACCTCCTCCCCTAACCATTTTGCAGTATTTGCAGTCACCTTCAACAGCTAGAGCAAACCAGCCCTTATCTTTAGCAATTCGAAGACCTTTGAGTGCAGCCAAGATTTCTGCTTTTGTAGTCAGCAACCCCGATTGGGCCACTCAATGACTTCACCCTTTCCCCTGAAAACTCCACCTATCCCGGCAGCTCCAGGGTTGCCCAAAGCACTACCATCAAAGTTTAGTTTATGCTCCGACTCCACTCTTGCAGAAAGAATGTTAGGTCTGCAAGAAGATCCTGATAAAGAGAAAAGGATTTTCCCCCAAGTTTTGTTGCAAATTATTCAGAGAGAAACCTTTGAACTCCACAGAAACAAAAGCCCACAGGTTGCCCAGGAAAGAAATGTGAGAAAGCAAGAACAATTATCTGATTGACTCCCCTTCAATCTCCACATTTGTCATATTCAATATATTTGCAATCTGTAGCCCTTGCAATGCAGCACACAGTGTTTTCTCCGTATTAATATTACAGTATTTTAATTGTTTCCGTAGTTTCAAACAGTGTTTTTCAACCCATTGTTGACACCCGGCCAGTTGGACTGTTCGGCCCGCAACACAGTCATGATTCGAGTCCAGGTTAACCTAAAACCAAAAATTTAGTTGAAAAACATTGACTTGGTCAGTGACGCTGACCCAGGCGATTAAACCACTGACCCGCTTGACCTAGTCAGTGGGTCACAGCTTGACCCAGGCGGTCGATGGTCAGATCGCAATGATCTTTTTTTATTCTGGATAACTTTTTGCAAACTATGCAATGCAAGGAGCTGAAGGCACCTTGGCCCAATAACTTTGCCAAAAAAAAAAGCCTTTTTGGCCTCAAATCTAAAATAAAACTAAAATAAAAAATATAAAGAACCTAAAATAAAACATATATATCATATATATTACATGCAGAACATAATTATATACACACAAATACACATTACAATATTACAATATTACACATACACACAGGATCTGTTCTAATAATAATCTCCAGCTCTAATAAATCGGCTGCTCTTACCACCAACAAAAATGTAAAACAAGAAAGGCAATATCAATCAAAGAAGAAAAGAAAATATTCAACAAGTAATTGGAAAATCTGTAAAAACTTACTTCTTTGCCCAGCTTCCAACAATCCATCAGGAAAGTCAATGAACTTTGAAGAAGCTTTGGGTTCAGCCTCTTTGACAGATTGAAGTGCCCGTTGCCTTGCCGTGAGGGAAGTTTCTTTCTTCTCATCAACAAAAGACCCAACCAATTCTCGCTTTATGCTCTTTTTCTTTTTCACATCTGACTCAAGGTCTGAATCACTAATATCTTCACTACTTGATGCAGCACTTTCTTCACTGTCATGGAGTACCCTGCCCACCACCCTTTTCTTTTTACTATTCTTGCTAAATCGATTGGTATAATAATTCTCATCTTCATCATGATATTCTGGTTCTGCTACTTTCCTTTTAGGAACACGTGAACTTCTGCGTTTTGGAGCTTCTTCCTCAAAATCTTCACCATATGGACCATCAGAAACCTTTCCTTTAGAAGCCTTACTGCTCTGATATAAAGCCTTATCTTCATTACCATCATCACTATGTTCCCCATCAAGCACACGCCTCTTTCGAACTCTTGAACTCTTTCGAACTGCCTGAGAAGCAGAAGAATTGGCAATATCATTATCTGTTTTCTTTGTAAATGCAGTTTCTTCTGAGCTCCTTCTTGAACCCTCTGAGGTATGACTCCCATCCATTCTGGAATTGGATACAATAGATACATACTTTTCCATTCTTTGAAGACAATCATCACTGTTCTCCTGAGAGGGAAAAAAGAATAGTTCACCAGTGACTACAACTTCAGAAATAAAATGTCTTCAAGAGCAACATAACAAAATTAAATAACAGCAATGGGTATTTTTACCTTGGAAGTTACTTTCTCTAGCTGTCTAATATCAGAAGATTTTAAAGTAACATGAAGCTTTCTGGTGTCAGAATTTCCATTATGATTTGCATGTAGAGTGTGTGTTACACCTCCTACCTTAAGCTTTACTTTTGTTGGTCTGTTTTCCTGAGATGAAGGATCACCTGCTCGATCTACCAGTTTTGAATCACCTTCAGAAAGGTCATATTCCCCACTAGATCTTTTGGCTCTCTTACCAGGCTTATCCAAGCTTCCCTTAAATGAATGCGAGTCTGATTGATTTCCCCAATCAGAGGCACTTTTTCTAGCTGGTGCAAGAACCCCTTCACTGCACCTAGCATTAGAACCAGGTTTAACTTGATCTTTAACATACAACCCTTTTGAAACTCGCACCCTTGGATTCTCAAGTACATTCATTTCAGGATCCCCCTTTGATGAAGCACTAAACCTTCCTGATTTCTTATCCTCTACGATTACATTTTCTTTCCTTGCTTTCAGATCACCCAAACCTTTGCCATCTCTGTTATGGTTCCTGCCAAGTTTAGTCCTATCATACTCCCCAGCTACATCAGCGTCATCCACATTCCTTGTATTATCTAGATCAAGAACCGAGTTGTCACCCCAGCACTTTCCATGCTTGATATTCCCCAGATTTCCTGATCTCTCATGATGGAAATTGTTTGACAAAGAACCCTCTTCCTTCCTATTCTTCTGTTTTACTGCGCCTTGATCACAACCATTATCATCACTTGCGAACAGGCTCAAATTCTCTGAGCTGCTTCCATTATGAGTAGCAGGCCCATTGTCAAAAGGAGAAGATGATAGTGGAGATAATAATGGATCATGACCACAATCATTAAGAAACATCTGGGATGATGCAGTTCGAGGTTTTCTAGACACAAATGTTCTGGGCTTCCTTGCGCCCTTTACAGAGTCAAAATCCAAACCGTCTAACCTTTCCATGAAGGGAAGTTGATCCTGAAATGACAGATTGCATAACAAAGATTAAACTTCAGTATCCTCCTGGAAGACAAGACAAAACATTTATGACAACAGAAGCATAAATTGTAAAACAAGCTGAAAAATGAAAAAAGAGGTTGAATCAATTTCAGATTTTCAGTTCTACAAACAAATTAACTGCAATAGTGGCCATAGAAGGACACAATTAAAGATGGATCCAGAAGTGTGGAAAAGAAGTGGTATGCCTAGAAACTAATAAAAAGATAATGAGCATAAAACAACGAAAACTCTTTATATCACATGTTATTTGCAAACCTGCTTACAGAAACAAAAACAAAAGAAAAAAAATACAGGGAAAAGTTAAGAATATGATTTTCAAGTTGGGCAAGAAAAAAAAGGGAGAGAATAACTGCTTTAAATTATAACAAAAAATAGTACAAAGTCTCATCACCATCATCCAAGCCTTATCCTAACATGGACATGGGAAATGAAAATATGACTCCATTTTCTAAGATCCACAACACCGATACGGATGTATGTATCTTATTTAATATGCTTATATCTAGTTTCATAAGATAACTGTCATTTCTGAATGCTAATTTTGCCAGAATTAATTAAGCTTCTAATGTATACAATCTGAATTTTTATAATGTCGTCTACTAAAGAATGTTATTTTACATATTTTAAAAGTGTTAATGATATAAGAAATAATCTAGAAGCATCCATGCAGTATCCATTGTCCTATCAGATCTGTATTGTGTCTGACAGAGGTACGCTAGGAATGTACAGCCATCCGGAAATCGTAAATAGAAGAACTAAAAGAAATTTGACAATTTAAAGAAATTAAAGAAAACACTTGGTCGGAATTATCTTCCCATATGAACCGGGTCCAAAATAGGACACACAACAAAGCGAATAGCTAACCTGATTCTTTAAAAGTAAAAGAATAACCCTAGAAGATATGATTCAAAGTTCAGACTATAAAATTCCAGTACACTCAAAACCAATTACCATATTTCTTGTAGAAACACATTACAACTTTCAAGACAAGATCCATCTAATATTCAAAGTCAACGTAGCAAACCAAGCTTGGGAGCATCAAATCAGAAGCATAAAATACTAAAATCTAATAAACATAAACCTTTCCCCCCTTTTCAGCCGAGCATTCAAAATTAATGTCAAACCCTAAGCTAACAAAAGCAGCCATCCAGGAACAAAGAGAGAAAACAAAGCGAAACAGAACAACTTAAGATCACTTGAGAAACGGAAAACTAAGCTAACAAAAAGAGTTCGAACAAAAATAGACCTGGAGGCTGTGGAATCAGTCAGTGCTCACTGTAGGAGAATGAAAGAAATCATGGCGGTGCAGCTCCGTTTGCTCCCACTCGAAGGAGAGAAGATGAAAACAAAACAAAGCAAGCTTTTAGGGTTTCGATTCTTCCCCATGCAGGTAAGATAGAATCCATGGCGATGATGACGACAGTAATGGCACACGATGTCCCGATGAGGTGATGATGATGGTGACGATGTATGGTGGTGATGTGGTCTCTGGTTTATCACTAAGGTTATGGATGGTGAAGATACAGATACTGTTACTGATTGGTACCTTTAGATGATGGTCGTATGGAAATGGTGGTTGATGATAATGATGACGATAATGAAGATTGTTACGGTGATAAAAGATCGCCATTATCTTTCTCTCTGTGTTGTATCTTGCGATTTTTCACCCACCCCCTTTTTCTTTTCAAATTTCCCGCTTGCCGCTTCCCTATTATTCTCACTTCACTTCAATGGGCTGTTTCCTGTTTGTGAAGACATTTTTGGCACAATTATGCTAATCTCCCGCCGTAAGCGTCTTGTAATTAGATATAATCTCGTTAAGGGCCTGTTTGGGTGTACTGAGCTGAAGATTCAACTGCTATTAACTTATAATCGATTTAGCTAGAGCTGTAAACGGGTCGGGACTGGTTCGGGACAGGGTGGAGCAGTCCTGTTTGGTAATTACGACAACAATAAATACGCATAACCGAATCAATCAATTATTAATCAGGACAATAGGGTCTGATGTGGTTAGTTTCGATTATACTACTAATGATAATTGATAATAATAAGGGAAATTCTTTATCACTATCCTGTATTTTGGCTCGAGTAATAATTTGGTCTCTAAAGCCCGAACTTTAAAATGTGATAATTTAGTACTTGAATTTTTAAAATATGACAATCTAATACCCAAATTTTTAAAATGTAACAATGTTAATCAGTTGGTTTAAGTGATATTTGAAAAGTCAAAAATATCTTAAGAATGCTATCTAATTATCTTTATCAACCATCCAAACATTGATAATAAAATGAACAGTCTCAAAATCTATATTCTTTTAAACAGTCACCAACTTTTTTGAATAGAAGAGGCTAGAATTTGAGACTGTTCAATTTGTTGTCAACGTTTAGATGGTTGATAAAGAGAATTAGATGACATTCAAAGAGAATTTTTGACTTTTCAAATGGTACTTAACAGCTAATTAACGGACTGATTAATGAAAGGTACTGGATTGTCACATTTTAAAAGTTCGGACACTAGATTGTCGCATTTTAAAGTTTGGGGGCCAAATTGTCATTCAAACCAAAGTATAAGGTATTGATTGGAAATTTTCCCTAATAATAACTTAAAACTTCATTTTGGCATTATAATATTAATAAATTTGACAATAAAATATTAAAAGCATTTATATATATATTTATTTATTTATAAGATGTGTTTTTAAACATAATTTTTAGAAATTTATCTTTTCAGAGATAAAATATAACAAAAAAGTATAAAAAATATTTATATATTATTAACAATATAATGGATTTGGAACAGTAAGAACCAGTCCCAAATTCAATTATTAACTAAGACAAAACCACAAAATTAGCATGAACATAATCAGTTCATTCGGATCACCTGATCCAATCCATTGACGTCCTTAGTTGGTCTAGCCGTCTAGCTCCTTTCAAGTGCTATGGACAAGCAAGAGGTTGAATGACTTAGCAAGCAAGCAGGCAGCTCTTCAAATGATTGATTAACAGCCAATTTAGGCTCTCTAGCGGAATATATAATCATATGGATGTCATGTAGCACATCCCAACACATAATTTTACAAACTTTGTTTTATCCCGAGAGCCAGCCATTGCTGAGCCTGAGAGAGAGAATTCCTATTTGACCAAATAGAAGTTACGAACTCCCCTCCACCCCCATACTTTAAACTCTTAGTCTTTTAGACAGACTTCTTGCTTTCCCTTGGAGATCCATGTTAAAAGTCCATTTTTTGGGGTTACCCATGAGATACATAATAATGAAGCAGTCTCGAATCACACCGCCTTTTTGAATTCTCTCTCCTTTTCCATGACAAGTGCTTCCTGAAAATCACAGAATTTCCCATTTCAGCACTCGAACCCACCCATTAGAGGAGGTGCAACTTCACCCATGAATTGTTAGATGGATGAAGGGAATTAATTTTTCTACTAAACCACCACTTCACCCATGAATTGCTGGGGAGTTGACAGTATGACATCGACCCAGCCCACGACAAGTTGACAACTGAACTGACGATAGTGCAATACAATGAAAGAAGGGAATTAATTTTTCTACTAAACCACAATTTCTCCTTGGATTCTTTTATGCACATACAGACAGACTGAATTATACATGTTCTATTTAGTCCATGCACAACCGGAGTGCATTATGTGACTCATGAAACTAGCAAGCATTTAGTATGTAGATACACCACTGAATCCACATTTGTCCATTTCAGATCCATCAAGATCCACCCAAACCTCGTTTACACGCCCTATAAGCCGAAAAGGTGAACTATACTGTGCAATTGAGTAAGCTTCCTTGCTTTCAGACTTGGTTGAATTTGCCCATGCAGATCTGCTCAAGCTGACAGCAAGTTTCTCTGCCTCTTCAACGATGTTACTATCCCTAGCAAACCCTGAGAACTTTCTGGCTGCAATACAGTGGTCTCCCCATGCATCAGACTGCAGGTTCAGTTCAGGGAGGGGAGCAGGTGGGGTAGATTGGAACTCCACTGGCAAGTAGAATCGCACAAAGTAAGCTGATGAATGTAGGGGCCCAGCCTCTGGGACAATGCTTGTCAAAACAGGAGTTGTCATTCTGATCCTAGAAGAGTTCAAATTTGCACCTTGGATGTACTGGAATAATCTGCAATGTGAAAAAAAAAAAAAAAACAAGGAAGACTAAACCAGATAAACATTCGGGTGTATGAAGCCATTTCATAAACAAATGTCTAACTAAATAAATGGTCCTAATGGAAGAACAGTTTTCAGTTCCAGTACTAAAATGTTAAAATTTATTCAAAGTTCAAACAGATTAAAGAGACCAAAGTGCATCAGATATGGCATTCAAAATTGTTAGTCGCAAAAGTTGTTTATGGAGATTTTTTTTTATTATAGGAACTTCAGTTATACTGGATAGAGGTCTAAAAGTTAGACTTCAAGAAGGATTAGAGAAATTCAATATTGAATTGGAAAAATGTATTCTGCATCTAAATACAATATCCAAATGACAATGCACATCTATGTTTGCAAAGTAAACTAGTCATGCATCTAAATAAATTGTATAGTTATATCAACTATTGCCACTAGTTTCAATGACATCACCCTAATATTCTATTGTTTCTTATAAAAAGAAAGCAATTCTATTGTATCTTTAGTTATTCTCCTTTATCAATGTAAATACCCTTACTACTCCACAGTGGATGGTCAACTACCTTGTATAGCCTAGTACACAAATGTTTCTTTTTTTTTGATAAGTAAAGAATTTCAAAGATTGATTACATGAAAATCCCCTTAGAGAGGCGCAAGGTGCTGCTTCTCCATACAGAAAACACAAAAACTACATCAAAAAGTGCATGACTGTTAAAAAACACAAATTACAGTTGTGCCCACAACAATGTTTCCCTGTTTGCCCCTTGTTTTGCCAAGACATCAGAAAATGCATTAGCTGATCTCCCAAATGTTTTTATATGATTATGTTTCCTATATGCAACTTCTAATTTTTAGATTGCTGATTCCTTGTTTCAACACCCACAGATAGATTACTCATATCTTAAGAAGCGACAGGGTAGAGAGGAAAATTTGTCTTTCAGCCAGAATTAATCTGTCACTTCCTAGTAAGGACAATAACCAGGGCTGCAGCTCTTCCTTGATCGTAACCATCAAATATACAAGTGTTCAATGCATAGCATTCCCAGTCTTCCACAACACAATTAACTCACCTTCAAAAAAGCATTTCTATAGTGGGAATTGACTGGCATTATATGAGAGAGCATTCATCTATTACCTGGTATTCACTTTGCATGTTGAGATCCAAACAGGTAAAACAGAACCAGGAGACAACTGTTTATTGATGCATGACAATATTCCATAGTTGATATCAGAGCACCAAGATGTTCTCCATCATTTGGAACGTTTTAAATTTACAAGGGACATATCTACATAAAAGGCATATTATCTGGTTCATTCCCACCCAGAACGTCCAACTTGTTGCTAGAAATCAACTCGCACTACTCAACAACCATATCAATACATTCCCTGAGGGGAGGGGCATCCCTTTGTTGCAAATGGTGAAAGGTCCATCCATACTTCATTTAAGCGCCCAGCAACATGAAAGGAAGCACTGTACTGGGCAATTGTGAATGCATGCTTATCTCCTAAAACTCTCCCTGTGAGGGATCTACCTAAGCTGGTGGCAAGAGCTTCTACTTCTGCAATAATAGAATTGTCCCTAGCAAACCTTGAAAAATACCTAACTGCTACACAAAGAAATTCCCATTTTCCAAGCTGTAAATTCAGCTCTGGGCGGGGTAGTGGAGGCACCCCCTGATATCTCGCAGACACATAGAGCCTCACAAAATACTGAGACCCATTTGGCTCTTGTTTGATGCTTGTTGGGATAAGTTGAGAAGAATTAAAGTTAGCACCATGGCCTGAATAAAACAATGCATGAGCACAACCAATGATGAGGTGAGAATAACAATATAATGACAATTGCAAGAACTAGTAATTTAGAAGAAAATCAGAAAGAACAAACAAATTTAATAAAGTATTTACCAAATTATAAGCACAGCACAGATGATATTATAAATGGAGTTGCAAGGAAAGGGAAACCATAGATTAACCCTCCAAAAGCATGACGAATACAACCTAACTGTAATTATTATTATGAAACTTGGTGGTGTACTTTACACATAGTAGTACAAAAAACTCCTCAAGCTTGTGCACATTGGCTAACTATGTATACTAGCATATTGAGGTTTGGGATCTCAGCTCAAAAAAACACTAAACTATGCTCAATTTCATAATCTTTCTAATGATCACCAAGGGCCCTCCACAAAAGACCAGATTGAGCAAGAGCCACTATGACCACTAAATCCATAACCAAAATTAATTGTACCAAGATAATCTCCCTCAAGAAATAAGTAATTCAACTCTCAAAACTATATGGATACCCTATTTCACATCAACAGCATATCTGATGTTTAAGCCTATGCAGCAATATATTCACCAGCAGACACCATACAGGATCTCAACAAAAGCCATACACTGTCAGTTCAAAATTCAGCACCCATTCTCTTTCGGTTTGTAGTTTACATTTTTTCTTCTCCATTATGTTTTCCTCATACCACAATATTGGCCTCAGCATTCAGATTCAATTCAATATATTATTTTCGACTTACATCATCGTCCCATGAAAATTAGTTGTTAGAAATTTGAGTTTAGTCTATCCAAGTCCAAAGAACACCTCTTGTTTGACCAGATAATTCCCAAATGCTCCCCTACAAAAGATACTCATCTATAATCATATAAAACACCACCTTTACTAGAATAAACAAAAGTTGAAGTAAGAAAATCATGGCTACAGAACGGCCACCTTTGAAAATGTGAACCAAAAGGCAGAGGGAGTCCCATTCATCTCCAACATTGGATAATCCATTTCTTTCAACATTTGACAAGTGATAGAATTCAATCCTCCACATGCATTGCAGAAAGACAACTTAATCTCCAGCGCATGAATCCTAAAACATAAAGCATTGAAAAAGGGCCATTACCTAATGTTGGTCCCATTTATCTAGGGTCTTGGGAGGGTGGACTTGATAGGAACTAACATTTGGCATTTTTCCCACAAAAAAAGTGGCCACTCTTAGACTCAAACCTCATTCTCATGCTTGTCAGACCAAGAGATTACCATTATATCATGATATGGCCCCTAAAATATGAAGCATATAAGCTTTAGAGAAATCATCACTAGAAATCTAGAAAGAGATCCTTGAACCCAACTCTCTTTTTTTGTTGATGATGGATGACTACCTACATTTTATTGATAATGAACAATTCCCAAAGTTGCTTGAACAGATTGGTTTTTAAAGGAAAAAAAAATCCATCTAATAGCTTTTTTCTTTTTTTTTTAGAGAAAGTAAGGTATTGCGTTGGTAACAAAAAGGCAATCAACCCATTGTTTAAAAAAAAAAAGACGTTGCAAAATGTTGGTTCCATCTATCTAAGGTCTTGGGAGGGTGGACTGGATATGCACCTAACAATTGGCTTTCTTTTAATGCAAAAAAGTGGTTGCTCTCGGAGTCGAACCTCTGTTCTCTCACTTGCCAACTTGAGATTTTACTGTTACACCAAGCAATGGCCCTTATACTCAACCCATTACATGCCTTCCTAAAACCAAAATTAATTGTAACAGAATCTAATTTTAAATCTTCTTGTGCCTCTGTATCCACATCAAGAATATCCACCTTCACAATCTGATTTCAAGTTTTGAAAAACCTTTCTCATTTTTATTGCTAACCAGTTGAAACCTTTTTATTAAAATAAAGAAACAAGAATTAAAAACTTGAAAGCCATAACTAAAAGGAAAGACGCCTATATTGGAGCACAATATAGCTTATAGCTTTGTCTTTTAGTGAATAAGATTTTAAGGAGATCGGGAGCTCCTTAATGGCTGAAGTTGAAGTTGGGTAAGTTTCTATACCCTTGAACATTTTATCCACTAAAAGACAAAGCAATAAGTCATTCAGTTCAGCAACTTCAACTGTTATCAAACAGCCCCTTAGACACCATAGACTACATAGATATAGTTTATCTAAATTTCATCAAGCATGTTAACCATCCATTACCAATTTTTGCACCACACACAGTAAATCTTGAGTTCAAAACCTTTAAAATGATTTACAGTTGTGTTTCTCAGCATTATAAGGTACACAAGCAGTATATAGAGATCTTTCACTGGTTACACTGTTAGAAAAGATCTTCAAGGACCTTGAGCATATTTTCTTTTCATCAGGAAAGAAAATATACATATAATGAGGCAATGACAAGTAATTGACCTTGAAGTAGCAACAGCAATACCTTTGTCGTGAGCTAGTGAGTGGCAATTTCCCTAATAAGATCCATGAACAAATATTCCCATGGAAACCTCTTAAAAAATAAGTAATTAACCAGAATCCAGAAATTCCTATCCAATTGAGCAAGCTTTATTCTGGTTACTACAAGAAGAGAAAAGTTCTGTAATGAAATCTTATAACAAAATAGGCATACAATAATATATCAATCATACAAGAATCTAATTCAAAGTAAAAGAGTAAGTTTGAAAACAGTCTTACAATTATACCTGCAAAGCATATTCTGTTTTTTCCCTTCAGGTCAACACAACAGAAAGTAAAGCAATCAAACTTGGCAGCACAAGAGGTTGAATACTTCAACTCACCTCTAAACAGAAGAGACTATAGCTGTATGGAACAAGTTTCGATTGTTTTGGTATGTCCCACTTAAAACAATTTGCATTAGATTTTCACTATCAGATAACATAAAGAGAAAACAACAAATAGTAAATTAAAATAATAAAAGAAAACAAAAACGACAGAAAACAAATTTAAATAACTACTGCCATTTCTTCGGTCCCAAGGAAATATTTTCAGACTCAACTAAAGAGTCAATGAATTCTTCTAAGCCGACCAAACTTCATATTTTAGGTTTCAAGACCCCAAAATAAAATCAAAAGAATCCCATTAAATCGTTCCGCCAACAGAAATTAATCGTGCAAAACTGAATAAAAGGGAGCACCTCAAGAACGTGGAAATGATCCCGTACTATCTCAGTAAAGAAAATTGCATAAAATTAGTAACTGAGCCCCCACATAACCTACTCAATCCAGTAATAATGATCAATTTTAACTTGAATTTAGTGTACACGACATAATAAATTTAAAAATAAGAATAATAACCATGAATTTTCCAACAGAATAGACACAGCTGCGATTATCACATAACAGTAAATCAATTTGAGAAAACAACAATGACTTTTATCTAAACAAAATAGCGAAATTACTCAAATAGCACTCAGAATAACCTGTGAAAGCCTTCTCTGGTCGCCTTCTCGAAAGAAATTCCTCGAACAGGAGCTGAAATCCACGAAGACTCCCTGTACAATCTTATCTCAAAATCGGATTCAGAATGAACAACTGTAAATTGGGGTGATTCAATTCCATTACAGAAAACGAGAAAACGCAAGAAACTAGCAAAGAAGAGTGTCAGGGAAATCTTCTCCATCTTCCATGCCACGAAAGGCCCCATAGTCGTCTTGTTTAAATAGACTTTTCGGAGTGACTCAAATTACAGCTTTCTCCATCCTGATGTGCTATTATTACAACAATGGTGTTATAATAACGCTGCTGGAGCAGTGCAGCTGCAAAGCTAATGATTGATTAGGCGATCTAAAGACCAAAACAAATGGGCCCATGAAAGCCCATTAAGGGTTGGAGAGAAATTTCCTGGAAATTATTGTTGCATCATTGATAATGCATCAAACGACAACCAAGGGCAAGGAGGGGATCCATACAAAACCATTTCGGTTGGATGAAGTAGGAAGGGGGAATTTGAAAGAGAATTTGGTTCATTTGTGATTCCACCCATTGAATCTGATAAATGGTTTTAGGGGTAATTTGAATTCAGTCCACCTCAGAATTCATAATGGGATCGTACGGTTAAGGTCAGTGTAAGGGGAAAAGATTCTTTATTCGCGGAGGAAATATTGTTTATAAGGAGGGTGGGGATAAATATATTTGGAAAATTAATTTATAAATTCTATGATTTTTCTATTGTTGTGTCTAACTTTCTTCCAATCAAACACCTGTGGTGAATGTGATTCTCGTAATGTATTGGGCTTGATCTGAGATTTTTTATTGGCTTGGGTTGAATACTTGGATGCAACCATTGGTTTAACTTGGTAATATTAACCCTGGGCTATCAGTCCAGGTCCACATATCACTCCTTCCCGAACAAACTTCACTCGAGATTTTTATTCCCACTTTCCTCCCGCACTAGTGTGGTGTTTTGGTGATTCAAAGAGGATGAATGATGTACGAAAATAGCCTACGGCACCTAATCGGTCAGGCTTATTTGTCGCCAACATCAGTCTTATTAAATGGATGGTCATGGGGCTACACAACAGGGGGTAGCCCATCCCCTTTCCCTTAAGGGGCTACACCACATGGTCCACATCTATATGCATGGACTAATGGGCTTTCACACGTCGAACAAACAGCCCACTGACCACTGTGATATGCAAGATGTGGGTATTGAACTACGAGATCAGAGATCACATCAGCTCCCCACAGGCGTCTCACGTGCACATCTTAGCGTGTATGGGGAACATCTCCCATATTTGTTATTGTGAGATATTGCCAATATACAGTTGGGATGTGCTGCAGGGCACGCCCTGTGGGGTGTCGATGTGAAACAGAGCTGTAACCATCAATAGATCATTAATAATTTGCACCTGTGTTTAGTTTAAAGGAAAAAGTAGGGAAACATGTACAAGATTCGTTAAGGTTTCCCTGACTTTCCCTTCCTTTCCCTCAAGTAACCATAACTCGTTCAGCCCAAAAGAATAAAACCGTGAACGTAACTCGGTGGGTAGTATTTTCTGTACATTATGATGGTTACAAGAACGTTTCAGTGGAGGGGCAGCGGATGGTAAGGAGCTTGGGAGGAGAAGAATCGGGCCGGATTGACAAAATAATCCTACAAACGGAACCCAGCCTATAGTGAACGATTCTTTGACCTGTAGTTGCATAAGAAAGGATGTCATAGCAACACTTGTGTTTGGTTTGAAGGAAAAAGTAAAGAACAAACCAAACACAACCTAATTAGATGACAGTAAGGATATAGCTTCTCATGGTAATCAAAGTGACGCATACAAGCAATGAACTTTTTTTCAGGTAGAAAGCACTGAACTGAATTCAACAATTAGCAAGTGCCCGCATCTTTTATGAACTCCATACAAGAGCAATAGTAACAACAGGAATAAAAGTAAAGAAAAAAAAAACTAAAAATGGGGGAAAAGGGACAATTGTCATGCGGGCAAACCCATGATGAATTAGGAATTACAAAAGATCCAAACTTGTCTATATCCTACAGGTTCAATACCTTTAGCTTCTTTTCCTTGAGGAATGCACTCCACTCAACTGGTTTACGAGCGGCTCCATCATATTGAACGTACTTGGGTAGCTTCTTCCCATAAGTTACAAATGTCCCCCCATTAGCCACTGCCTTACACACTGCAGTTGCTTGGTGCCCGTCACTGAAATTTAAACCTGCAGCTGGACTTAGCTCATGTGCCAAGCGTTTCATGTACCTGTAGCAGAAGCCAAAATGTCTGAGAAAGAACACTTTATCCTTTTTTTGGTTCTTTATTTATTTATTTTACTTTTTTTTTTCTTTTTTTTTTTGTTGTGGGGGGGGGGGGGGGGGGGGGGCTAATGAACAGAACTTGTGCAGTTCTTTCATTGACTTTTGCACACAGTTTTGGGAGGGTGGACTGGATTAGACCCTAACTGGCATTTTTTTCAGAAGTAGACTACCCTCATGCGAGAAGCTCGGAACCTACTTATCAGACTTGTCAGCTTGAGATTTACCATCTCACTAAACAATGGCCCCGGTGAAGTCGCCAATGTAGCTTGGAAAATTTGTAACCCAACACCCAAGATTGATCGACCACAGCCACCTAAAGCTTAAAAATTGCTTAGAAGTTAAAAATCCCATTGTGATCAAACTTGAGAAGATTTTTCTCTCTTAGACTGGTAAGAATTAGTACTTAACACTCAACAGTCACCACTTGCAATCCTGAGGATGGAATTTGAACCCAGGTCTGGGATCACAAATTCAAGAAGATGCCATATTGCATGGGAAGATTCCACATGCAACAATTAAGTATCCAAGAGTCTGAGTTTGAAAACAATTCATGGAAAATGGAAGCAATAACGGACTTTTCAATAGTAGCCCTAACATGTATTAACAAGGACCAAATCCATAACTGTATGAGAAACAATAATACTAAAGCCAAAAGTTGTCAATGCATGAGAATGAAGACTCATTTAGCAAAGCTGTGTGGTCAACACAATAGACTAGAAAGTGGGTTTCCCTCCTTCATAACCAAATACAGTGATTAAGGGTCTCTCACAATTAGCAAAGACATGAAAAAGAAACAAAAACCTTCAGCTTTTATGAAAATTCCCAAAGACTTCAATGTGTTAACACTTTAGGGGAAATAAAACCATCTGTTGAAAATTTAGTTAGATTATTGCATTGCTCAGGAGCATGTGGAGCATGCAGGAGTGCATGAGATTAACTGATTAAGAGATCAACAACCATAATCCCAAAATCATGCGGGAATAACTTTAAGAGCCATGGCTCAACCTCACAATCGTTTAGAAATTCATGGCAACTTTTCCATCAAATGCAAGAACAGTAACAGCAACTAGGCCAATACACTTCCCATTCAATAATGAAGAAGTAGCTTATGTAGTTGGTTAGCTTCCACATCAATTGACTGGTGTGAAAGGCTAATTTGGAAAAGGGGATTATCTTAAAAAGAAAAATAACCTGCAGATTCCCCAATTCTGAGCAGACATAACACCTTTGAAATGCATGTCTTTAGTTAAGCAAAATAAGATTTTATGGACTTTAGTTTTAAGTATAATATGCCAACAATCATATAATGGTTGCTTTCTGACATCAATCCTGCACCTGTTAAGTCCGGATCTGCTCCTCATAGAGCACTCCTCACGGCACATTCCAGCCGTACATCAGGAACATTTTCTGTACTTGTATGCTGTTATTCAGTGGAATGTGCTGTGAGGAGCAAACCCCGATATAGATAGATAGATAGATAGATAGATAGATAGATAGATAGATAGATAGATAGATAGATAGATAGATAGATAGATAGATAAATAGATAGATAGATAGATAGATAGATAGATAGATAGATGGGGGATTTCTAGACCGGGGGCCATGGCTCCCCTAGGTCCCCTTGGCTCCACCCCTGCATAAGCATCAGATAAATATCTATCTATATATATATCTATCTATATATATATAGATAGATAGATATTATTTATTCATATATAATATAATGTACAAAAATATATTTTTATAATTTTAAATACAATTATATAAAACTTATATATTAAAACCAATAATATTATAATTGGATTTGTATTTTAATTGGATCGAATTAAGTCAAATTTGAATATGATTCAATTGCATAAACACATCATCCAAATATAGGATAATCAGATCAAGTGTTGAATCTTGCCATGGAATTTTAGGTATCATTGACAAGCCTACTTCCTATCCTACCTCCACCCTTTAATTAGGGTTGTAATTGGAGGGTAGATGGTATTGGACCCAAATGCATTCAAATTTGAATTGACTAGTCAATCTTAGACTTGATTTCAACAAAAAATCCAAACGAGTTTAGGAATCTCATGTTAAATTCTCATTCATGTTTTTAACATGAAGAAATAAATTAAAAAAATTGCTTGTTAACTTATATATAATAAATTAATATAAAGATGAAATTTGAATTTATTATATGCATATATATATAAGTATACAAAGTATAATATGTAAAATTATGTATCTTTATAATTCTATATAACTAGTAAGCGTGCACGTGCTTTGTACGTGGCAATTCTATATAATGATAATGATAGAATAATGCATCCAATATTGTCTATAAAATTCTTTTTTTTTTTGTTTTTTACTATTAATTGGATCCATACTGCAAAATTTGGATCTGATTACATAAGCACCTCATATTGGGCTACAAAGTTTTGGGTATCATTGGCAGGCCTACTTGTTTGGCAAGACTCTTCTTTTTGTAATCTTTTATTTTCTTAGTGTATACTTTTTGTTTATTTATCAAACAAAACATAAGATTTAAAGAGGGAGAATTGAATGAGGTGAAAATTGTAGTTCAAACTACATTTTAAACCTCACAGTTAAATAGGGATTAAATCCAAAAAATGGGTATTTTAGTCAAAAGAAAGTTCTATAATTTTATTCATATTTTTAATAATAGTGTAAATATGGAGTTATAGACGTGTTCAATTTTTTCTAATTTTTTTTATTTCTATCTGTGTAAAAATAATACTATTATTTACACTTATTTTTTGTTTAATATGTTTAATATATGATATTATACATGTGCCCAAATGTTTTTTTGTAAAGTTTATGTATGTTTATATTTTATTAATATTTATTATTTAATTATGACATTCAAGGTTGACATATTTGACCCAAAA